ATTATTTCAAAGTTAAAAGCGGATATGCATTGTCAGAAAAAGTAGTGCTGTATAAAGAATGTCCACATTTTACAAATTACAGTGAAAATGTTTACAAACTTGCATTTGGCAAACAGTTTGAGCGAACAAGTAAAGACCACTGTGGGGACACTAAGAACAAATTTTGGGAATATTCCGGCAGAATTTCAAGATAATCCGACGGAAATCAACATCATAAAATTCTGTGAGGAATCTGTTCACAAAAGCGATTACAGTTAGTCAGGTAGACTAGATGTTACATGGCATGATGTTCGCATCACTCCAATGCCTAAGAAAGAAAATAGGAACTTACTACCGATTACCCTATTAACGGTACTACTTAATGACTTTTGAACGGAATATTATCTAGACTCTTTCCACTTTCGTTTGATCGCAATGATCGTTAAGTGGAACGTATATGATGTTATCATCGATTTTCTACCAGTCGACATCGTGATGCATTCTCATTATTTCTATGGGGCTAATGATAGCAGTGCACTTTATAAGAGGAAAATTGACGTCAAATCACTCGCGTCAGTCTCACGGTCGCTGTTATCGTTATCTACATATGATCAGGGAGAATGCAGATTCCGGCAACCAAATCACGCGCGATATCCCGTTCTAAGGTGTCTCGGCGAATCTCGAAGATCACTGTGCAGCGACCAGTGGATGAACAGTAGCATAATAAATTGATCGTTCCGTTTGGAATATAATGTAGACCAAATGGTCTTTCTAGGAAAACGATGACTGTTTTCTGCCAGACATTATAATTCATTCGGATTCACGGCAGCTTACTGATAACTGCTGCTAATTCCGCTCGCGCAATCAACGGTGATCGTACACACTTCCCCAGACGATGATCACCGGTTTGTTTTCTTTTTAAATAGCGCCATCTTATCGCATACACATCAATGCATGGTGCTGATGAATAGCATTGCATTTACGACGAACGAGGCCATCTCACGGGAGCAGTCAAAAAATCCTGCTCAGTGTACATGGAACAAATGATCCATCAACCCTAAAAGTTATTTGTTTCATTGGGTTTCTATCAATATACTCACTATCGTATTCACAGTTTCATTCATGTAGCTTGTGGTTGCAAGTTCCTATAACCGATTGCATGCACCACTCAGATCAACGAACTGCTAGTATCACTTGCATTCATTGCATCTGATAGCTTTGCACACTCATCTTGATGACAGTATGGCTTTTAGAAAACCCTCGGTTGAGGTGCATTTGCGATACTTGGGTCAGCAGTTGCGGGAGGTCAAAATATGATTTGGGACCATTGTGTGCTGGATATTCAAACGGTAGAAATTCGAAGTTTATCTTTTCTAAAACATTGAACTGGACTAATCAGGACAAATCCGGATAGATCAACAGCAAACCATGCGAAACGCCGGCCGTCTATTACCCTATTGCGGTTCACAATAGGTTCGATGATTTAGCTAATCACAGGCAGTCACCAGACAGTACCCCTGAGATTTTCGGTTATAAACTTTTTCTAATTCACAAATCTCAGGAAAGCCTAATGGCATAACTCGTTCACATGTAACGGCTTTTATCCTTTTCCACCATATAATTTTACCACTTTAACTTCAGGTGCTCCCAACTGATGGTCTCTCATTTACCCAAGTTACACAGACATCATCATAATTTCAGCGATGACCACAATATACAGCCTGGAGTAGATCGTAACTGGTGAGTCTGAAGACTGTAGGCAATGAATGCGATCAGTGCTTGATCAGATCAGGAAAACAGCAACTATTGGGAATATCACTATCGTCTGTGGCAATGCGCCTTGCCACAACATACTGGAGTAGTTATTTACTGTGAGTTTATACCGAGTGGTCCAGCTGCTGAGGACGCCACCATACTCGTCACTGCTCCGTACCATTGCCCATATGTAGAGTTTGGTTACAAGCAAAGTCAAAAGGGATTTGAGTGATAATTCTCCCAGCCCTATCCAAGTGGATCCTGATCAGTCAAACCGAATGGCAAATGCAGTTTTTCGAGCGGTCAGTTACGAGAGCGACATCGTTGATCTCGGGTGCCCATAGCGCTAGGTTCGGGCGACATTTTAAACAACTGTTATTGAAATAATAAAAACGAGCTTCTCAGTTGGCCATAAGCACTCAGCGATATACTTTTCCAATTCCTTCTATTACTTTACTGACATTTTTACTTTCAAAAGCCAATGAAAATGTACAGTAGGTGTTTTATAATCCAAAAAATCAAACAGGAATCGTCTTGGGTATTTGATCCATCGTGGCCAAAATGGATTGTGTAAAACAGGTAATTGTCAATTTTGAGTAGAACGACACTCACAATACGTAAACCGATAAGAATCACAAAGGTTACCAGAAGAGGAATGAGCCTGAATCAGAGTTCGTACCAAAATCCTTAGTATTACCAACGATAAAGAAACAAACCAAGACTTGTCCTTTTAGTTCGTTTAAGGATTGAATGGATGCAAACATCAAATCATGTATGAACTAGCATATCTGACAAACTGTAACTGTCTTTGTGAACAAATCTAATATACAGAACACTGATGTTCATCTCTGTCAAATCATGTTGCATTTCTGCAGGTGGAGAATATGACAGTTTATGCTTAGGATCCCCACAGTGGTCATAACTTGTTTGTTCAATCGGTTTGCCGTAAGTGATGAACTTGTGAAAAAATGTCCACTGTAATGTTACACAATTCGTGGATATTCTGCCTGTTCTGACAACGCGTAACATTTTGTCTCACACAAATCGACTGCGTTCTGTTTCTTTCAATTCTGCCGGTTGAGCTAGGACCGGGCGAGCAACGGTAAAGACATAACTGGTTGTGATTGCATGGTAATCGATAAAACCAGCCCAGTCACCAAAAATCACCTCAAGAACTACAACTCAAGCCTCTTAATAAGTTTTGCTATCCGATTAGTATCATGATTCACGTGATGAATAGGGCATTGCTCGGGTATGGCGTGAGCACTGTTACTGTGGTGAACTCTGATGATTCAGCCATCGTTAATGCCGGATCAACTACGATCAACTGTGACTTACTTGTGACACCCGGGAAGCAGTCTGAAAGCCTTCGTGCTTATCAAGACGGGTCTGTCTCGCGCAAATCACAAGGCTTCATCGAACCACCGAATCGACGTCCGTCAGAGAGCTCGACTACATGCATGACTGAGGTCTACCGCGTCTCAACACAGGTAGAGCGTCGGAACATAGGTGGTCAATCAGAGGGCAGAAGAATCAATGGATCAATAAGGTGTGCTGAACGGAAGCAGATCCAAACATGGTCTGTTCTCAATTCAAATTGTTAGTTTCTCACATCAAAGCGATAGCTTTTCAAGTCAGTCCTGAAATGGGTATAGAACAGTACAGAACATATTGCTTATTCTGCAAATGGCACAGCGACCGGATGTGAATGTGAATAAGAATGACGCGTCTATCGATCGAGGATGATCCAATGGTGTCAGTGGAACATGGCTCTATATGCTTTTTAGAGGAGATGTAGACAAATGTCCACCGTGATTCATGGAGATCATCTGGACATCTCTAAGGGGCTATAACAATACGCAAGCTTCCTAGTGCTGATAAGGCTAATCGGACAGCTAGAAACAATACCAAGCCAACTTGAAATCATGAAAGCTTGAAATGACACCAGAATATCTCGGTTTGATACCAGGAAAAGTTGACATAGCATATGCATGAAACGCAGATCAACGATTGTTGTTATCACTATCTTACTTAACTTTCAGTTCTTCGGGGTTTGTCCACGTTAGAATCCCGGCCAACAAAGTACTACTGATATTTGAGAGAACAGCCAGATTAACGATTATCTTTATGAATTTAAAGAGCTGCAACTTGTGCACCAATAAAAGCTTTGTTCCTCGCGATTGATGGGACTGGATGTGATGACGAAAAAGAAATCAATTCAGCAATCTGATTTCAACAGTCTCATACAGCTCATTTTGATAAGGAAAACTGGTCACTGATATCTTCACTCATGTCCGCATAGAACATCTAAACATCTATCTAATACCTCTGAGAGTTCCGCGAATCACTTTTGAATTTGTCAACCAAGAAGAAGAGCATAAAATCTCATATGGCTCCCCAATTTAATGGAATATGTTATCTACTTAAACCACAGACAAACTGGTCAACTTAACTTGCAAATAGGTAGACTATTATTACGAGTCCAAGACTGGTCACTCTGGAATCCACTAAGCGCTTGTGTTTACAGTGATGGAGTGGTCCGATAAAATACAATACTTCACTGCGATGTGCAGACAAGAATGGGGAAATTCATTGTACCAACCAGCTTATTGTGGACAAAAACATAGGGAGATCGCGCTTCACCGTACCCCAAAAGACCTATTCATGTTTATTTAGTGATCGGTTGCCAACTGATGGAATGCGATTAGGTTCTGTGAACCCAAACCTCGGTCCCATTCAGCATTCGTCAGATCAGATACGTATCGTGTGTGGTGGATTCTACGAAAATGCGGAGCACGTGCACGCATGGTTTTCTGGCATTCCCTTTCACCAGCCTCTTTCAGTGTGTGTGTGTGCTGTAAAGTGAATCTTTCCCATCTGGAGGTTTGGTCAATGCGTCCATAGTAGTACTCTGCTCGCTCATTCTTCATCCAAAAATGTAATTAGATTCGATTGTTGTACTCTGTCGTGTAAAGTTCATGGAAAGCATTGATATCGATTGTTTGCAGAAATGGCGAATTAAAAAGAAACGTTTATTTCGGAGGTGGGATGATAAAACCCGCATTCAAAACGATCATCAATTGTTCACCAGTAACAATAAAAATTTTCTTCCGCATGAACATCTCACTTGTTTTATAATGTTATTCACGAATTTCACAGGATCAAATCTGGTTTAGATGAATGAATAAGAAGCGAAATCGTGGTTTCAATGAGTAATGCACAAACAAAGATGTGCTAGAGACATAAAAGTACGAATAATGTAGATGTTATTGCAGTTTGATCGCGCGCCATAGATGATTAAAACGGTTGATGGCTTGGTCCATTCTGTTCTCTGCACGTTCATTCGATGAAGAACAGGTCAGTCGCCTTATCCATCGGTTCTTCGTTTGTCCGAATCTCTCGTGTACTGGCTGCAGCTCCAGGGTTCGCGCAAGCCAGTAGATTGCTTCGCAGCTTCCAAACATCCTCCACATTTCGAACGGATTCAGCCCCGTTCGTTCAGACGGTTCGTCGGACGGCGTGATCCCCATTACCATTTGAACTATCGCATTCAACTCAACAGTGATCAGTTGTAATTCGACTAACTGATGCGTGATATGTGCATGGAATTGCTCAGTCCGATTCGCATCTTCACAAATACTTTGAAAATGTTTCACATGACGATACAGTTCACCAATGCCAGGATAGCAATCTTTTGTAGCATAGACAAATGCGGTGAAAGCCAAAGCTACCGGACTGTCGTTGATACTCTCACACTGGTTGCCGGCCAACTGTGAGTTACGAAACCATAAATCGAGGATGATGTATAATTGTCTATCAAACGGATCATTTAGTTCCGAGACCGGGCAGCTGAAATGTTTGTTCAGAAATTCCTCGATATGATGCAATCGATACGGCTTGCAGGGAATACAAATCGGTTGAAATTGTCCGTTTATTATCGTATGTTCTGTTACTTTGTGGTCAACCAGACCGTAACACTTGCTGTCAACAAGCCGTAGTTGTTCTTCCAAACCGAGCAAAATGTTGTATTGCATTGCACGCAATTCCTGACTCACTTTGTGCACTGATTGAGGCAACTTAGTGTCTTCATAACTGATGCCCAGTACCACTCCACCGCGCACATACAGAGCGTCTAGTGCATAAGTTGGACACAGAGACAAGCGGAATTGACGAACCAATGAAAGCGGCCATTGGAACATGACATCTATTGTCCGACCGAGTATGTTATTATCTCCACCATGATGATCATGGGGCGATTCATGCAGCATGGATTGGATAGCCTTCTCATAACTCTCGTGTATTGTCACATGGTCCATTTGTTCTTCCTGTTTTGCTTTAGGAATTTTCAACAGCTCAATTATCGAGGGATCCAGTTGTCGTGGATTGATCACATAGGTCAGCACAGTTTTTATTATTCGTTTCACCGTCCCAACGGAGTCCTCTCCCAAGCAATTGAATAAAATGATTCGTAAGGCTTCTCCAAGATCTTCTCCATGGAACTGACTGAGCCAACGAATGCATGTATCAATTCTGGAAACGTTACGCGACCGTATTCTGGGAGGATTTGATCCCCGGCAATCACTAATGAGTCCAAACATGGGTGCGGGATCGATCAAATCATTCCCAATCAACACAGATAACAACGGGAGCAGTTTTCTGCTCACGGATTTCAATGGGCTAGTATTTCGACAGAATTTCTCACAGAGCAAGACGTGACATTGGTTTGCATTTGCACGACACCGATCACAAGACGTGTGCAACCTTTTCGCATTCCAAACAATTGAGCTCTGACGAACGAAACACAGTTCCGTGGGTCCTTCGGAAACAAACAAATAGAAATCGGAATCTTCACTAATCAGAGGACAGTTGAGATAGATTGCCAATTCGGCTGCGTGCAAATCTCCCTCCGTTTCCCAAGCAATGTGCATAAAACCATGTTGCTCTACCACGTATAAAAGCACGTTTGTGGATAGACTGGGTATAAAAGGATACACATTTGCCTGCGTCCTTTCTCTATTCATTATCAAATTGTTCCGCAACATTTTATTCCACGCTTCCCAACACTCTGTTTTTCTACTCAATATACAGTCCAATTTGAAGCCCTGAGAAGAAATTGAAACACTGGCGTGAATATTATGAATAACATGTCAGAACAATTTCACTGTCACTTCAAAAATTTATGATAAACCGTCGGACAAATTAAAAATTTTCTGTGCACCAAATCTCTGGAGACTTTATGCTGCTTAGACGAACTGTGGTGCAATTAGTTTGACGTGTGTGACCTTAGGGAATATAGGTCGGATTCAGAATGAACTGCTTTGTTTTCAACCAACCGTGATAATGCCTAATTTTGATTTTGATCTCAGTGGATTGAAAATCTGTGCAGTCCCGGTCGAGCAGAGAAGAAGAGGCTAACATTCGCGAACCCCAAAAGTAGTCAAATCAGGTCAAATAGGAGCAGAAGAGACGAAATTCGTGACCCGACAGATGTGCTGGTGACCTGATGCGGACACAGATATACGCACTATTGCATACCTACACAAAATCATGTCAAGGCCGATTAATTGAACTCCATGACCAGAACGATCTACACCATGGGTAACACGTGCCGAATTGCGTAAACCACTGATGAGTTGTTACCTGTGTGCGCTTGTCCTTATTGACTCGTGTTTAAAGTCACTCAAATGCAAATTCAAATTTTTATTATGGGAAAACACTTACAAAGACTTCGCTTATCAAATCCCATAGCACACTACACTTTGGTTCGGAACACGATTCACAAGATCAGTCAGTCAATGAAAGTAAATGGTAATGCAATGCTTTTGACGCGCACAGAAGAATATATGGGTGTTGAAACATGTTTGCCAGAGCATCATTAGGCTGACGGTTGAAAGATACTAATGTTGGCGCACAGACCACGTGAGGTGGTAGAGAGTTCCATTTGCTGCACACTCTGACTGCAAACGAATGGCACCTGCAGTCGAGACGGCTCTTTTGGAGAGAGATCTAAATGAATGGCTGGGCCGTTGGAAAATCCTATACAGTAAGATCATGTCGCCTCTGATTTGACGATATTGAGATGAGTATAGCCCCAAGAGCTGTAATCTTACGCAATATGTCTTGGAATGTAGACCTTTGACAATTTTGGTAGCCATTCTCTGCGGATGTTTGAGTGTCTTCTGACCTCGCTGCAGCCATGGGTTCCAGGCCTGAATTGAGTACTCGGTGTGTGGACGGATATATGTGGCTAACAGACGTGGAAACAAAGCTGGCTCAAAAGATCCAAAAACACGTTTGAGCAGTCCAACCTGTTTTACCGCCATGGATGATGCCGTGAAACAGTTTGTGGAGCAACTCAAATCTGAGCGAATGATCACTCGAAGTGTTGGGGACAAGTATGTTAGAAATATTTATGCTCTTTCCAAGTGCTTCAGCTGGAATGTTATACCAGTAGTGTGTCACAGAAAATGATTCCCAGCTAATTTCAACGGAAATGAAAGTGGTTGGCTAGCACTGGATGTCAACGTCTACCGACAGACCAAGTTTTCCGTATTCTAATGGTGCAACTGAAGGCTGGTGGAAACAATCAGATGTACATTGGCATCCGAAGTGAATCGTGGATTTGGATGCGTATTTGGAGAACCTCCTACTGAATACCGATGTTTTAGAATGTACTGAGGATATGCCCGTTAGCGCAGCAAACCAGATCAATTAGCCGGACTGATTTGGACACGTTGGAGTATACCCAGCTGTCGCCTACTGCACCGCGCCTGATTTGCAGTTGCTGTCCCAGGCTGGAGGAAATCACGTGGAGCTCAACAGCTTACGTGCAAATGAGGCGTGAAGTGATCAAATGGATAGAGTTGGTGTCTGCAATCTTCAAGGCTATATTTCAAAAGATTCCGAGGGGAGACAATAAAGGGCACGACAGCAAAACGATAGAAGTGGCGTTCTTGTTGTCGCTTTTTAACAGATCCGCTAGTTTCATAATCTGTACGCACATTTGAGCTGTTTTGACGATAGTGGTTCGCGTTCTTTCACCCTGGCGTTAAATAGTGTGGTGATCCTAGCCTACGGGATAACACCAACCAAGCACCTACACGTTACAGTCTCTGAACAACGAATTACAGGCAAACCTTGTCAACCAATCAGAAGTCGTGCAGTCCAGACGGAAGCTGTATGACGTCAATAATACAAACAGACCATTGGTGGATATTCGTAAAACCAATAAACCTCCGTTGTACGTTATTTATTCCCATTAATTTCTTTCAATAAACGAACTGATGCTTCCATAGCATTTATCCTGCATCCTCATCGGTTAAGGTTGAAGGTTTAGCCTTCGTTTAGGAGTCAACAATACTCCTGGGTACAGTGTGGAAAAAGGAACAGGTTCCAACTGAATGGTGTGAACCGGTGATCATACCGATCTACAAGAAAGGCCACAGATCCTCTTGTGAAAACCACACAGGGATTAGTTTAATCGACATTGCCTCTAAACTTCTCGCTGGCATCATAC